CTAATCTGTGGGATCTAATTGGTCGTAGGGAGGTAATTGGCAGAAGGCGGTCTCTCAAGTACCCAGGTCCGATACCTTAATAAGTCCGAAAATTTAATAGCAATAGCCATAGCAGTTAGACTTATATATTATTTCACGGTATTTTACGGTTTACAGAGTCAGCCTATTGCCTCCAACAATCTGGGCCTTCATTTTACCAACCTTGGAAGGATGGAAGGCTCAGTCAACTTTGAGCCGGTGGGAACCGAACTGCTGGACTTCTGGCAATTGGCATTCTAACCACCGCGCCACCATGGCTCTTAATAAGTGGAATAATTGGAAAAAGAAGTTCAAAATATGTCACCCAAAATATTTGCATAGGCATATTGTAACTATTTGCAATATAATTTTTATTTGTTTGTTAAATTAGAGACATCATTTTTTGTACTACATACAATACTATTAAGAATGTGGTGAAACATAAAATTTGAATTGAATTGAATATTTTATTTGGAAAAGTGTGATTACAAACACAAGGAATTTGTATAGAGAAAAACAGAGAAAAATAAAACATACAGAGAAATGTGGGTATAAAATTTCCCAGGGAATAATTATAAAACAGAATTTTGAAAGAAAATTGTGTATAAAGCAACTTTATTAGAGCAGAAAAATATTTTCACTTTTTAGTGCTTTCAAACTCAGTAATTAGTTTTTTTATGAATCAATCTTGATTTTCACTAGCAAGCATAGCCTAGAAAAGTGTTTTGTAAATCCTTGTTTCTTTAGATTTGTGATTTTTTTCTTTTTATGTATACATATACATAAAAGTCTAAAGTTGGGAAATTCTATTAATTGAAAAGCTGAATGCAAAGAGATATCAAAGAACAGCCAGTCCAATGGACAATAAAAGGACTACTAGCTTGGGTACTACTAAGTTGGATACATTTTGATTGGGTAAATTTAGACAGGGTGCTATTGGAATGGGTACACTTTGAGTGGTTATTACTAGATTGGATGCATTTTGAATGGGCACTACTAGAGTGGATAAATTGTGAGTGGGTACCACTAGAGTGGATGCATTTTGAGTGGGTGCTGGTAGATTGGGTGCATTTTGAGAGAGTACTGGTACCACTAGAGTGGAAACATTTTGAGTGGGTGTTGGTAGATTGGGTGCATTTTGAGANAGAACAAGAAGCAATGGGTGGAAACTAATCAAGGAGAGAAGCAACTGAGAACCGAGGAGAAACTTCCTGACAGTTAGAACAATTAACCAGTGGAACAGCTTGCCTCCAGAAGTTGCAAATGCCCCAACACTGCAAGTCTTTAAGAAGATGTTGGATAGCCATTTGTCTGAAATGGTATAGGATTTCTTGCCTAGGCAGGGGGTTGAATAGAAGACCTCCAAGGTTCCTTCCAACTCTGCTATTGTATTGTATTGTACTTTGCTTCATGGGCATTTTGCCCTCCAACAGATTGTAGGAAGTCTGCACCCACCCCTCTCCTAGAAAAATGAAATGTTTTAGGAGATATTAAAAGGACAGAATATTTCCCCTAAAAGGGAGGCAGAAACTCAGCCCCATTTTTGTCAATGGGTCATTAAGGCCTGAGCCAGTCTACTCTACATAACAAAGATCTACCTCCTTCAGGCAGAGCCATAGTAGGAATTGCCCAATCCCATTCATTACATCATCACCCAGCAAGGCTGAACCAAACCTGGGATTCAGGACAACCTACAGAGTTTCCCTTGCATGGCCCCATGGGAGTGTGACAACCAATCAGAATACAAGCTCAAATTCAAAAGCCCAGAGAGGGCATAAAGCCAGCATCTCTTCCCTTCCCTCCCCATCAAGGACCTCAAACCATGTGGTCTTGTCCACCATCAATAAACCTTATTTCCAAGCAACTTCTATGAATCCAGTATCTTTCCCCCCACTTGGAACTGAACCCAGATGGACATTTGTTCCAACAAGTTCTTGAAGATATTTGCTACTGATTGTGAAGGAAAAGAAGGAAAGAAGAGGGTGGTATATGATGTAGACTACTGATAGAAGCTAAAAAAAAGCCTCTGATTAAGCACGGTATTAAGCTTTGAAGCCATAGAGAAAATGTCCATAATAACATATTTTAATGAAATTGGCATCTTGTTCAACCAAGAGGAAGAAATCCATGATAAAATCATGAATAGCAAGACAAATAACATGATATTTTATGGCGAATCATATTCCATGATGCTACCAGGATGGTTACAAGATCTATCAGAAAGAAAGAAAGAGAAAGAAAGAAAGAGAAAGAAAGAAAAAAAAGTTGGACAAGATCAACAAAAGAAAAGTCTGGATATTGACAGCTCAAGTTGAACTCACTTCACATGTTTATCAATGTGACTGGGATGCCCAAATGGTCCTTGGTGCTGCTGTGTCCTTCACAGTTCCTGCTAATAACCCACCAAGATTCACTCCTTTTGTTTTAAATAAAAATCCATCCAGCACAGAAGATGGATTTATTGAAGATTTTTGGCAGCAAGCCTTCAACTATGTATTTAAAACTTCAGATATGGATGAAGTGAATGGAAAATAAAACTAGAAAATCTTCCTGGAACATTTAAAAAAATGAACATGATTGGTCATAGCCATAGCATCTATAATTCTGTCTATGCCATTGCCCATTTACAGGCTATGACTTCATCGAAATTTAGACAAAGATCAACAGCAGAAGCAGGAAGAATGAACTTTAAGAATCTAAATTCCTGGCAGGTGATTGACTCAATGTCTTTTGGAAGATCATTATTTTTGAGACTAAAAGATTCATCCTATATCTCCATAATTCATGCTCTTTACATTTCCTTCCCAGGCCTTCATTTCTTTTGACTATGTTTTTATCAGCCCATGATGTCCATTGAGCCCAGTCTTATCCTTTTCCTTAAAAAAATGCATATAATTCTTCTTTTTCTAATCTCTCTCTCTGTCTCTCCCCACCCACATAGCTACATCATTTCTTAAAAGGTGTTTCATTTAACAACAGTGCTGGGGACAAAGTGTCACTTGATCAAAATGGAAAATTACTAACAGGATAGCTAACAATTTCTCCCCCGTTCCCAGACACTGACACGGATTCAGTAGTTGAAGAAATTATTGTGCAGTGCAACTAAGGCTCTGTGATTATGTTCTACAGTGTCCTAAGCTATTTGGGTTTCTTGGCTGTTATTGGTTGCCTTCATGGCCAGGAAATTACCTGATACTTTCAATGAAGCCAAGTTCATCACTTTCGGCATGTTGGTCTTCTGCAGTGTCTGGATATCCTTTGTTCCAAACCATTTGAGCACCGAAATATATAGTGGCAGTGGAGATATTTTCCATCTTGGCCTCTAGTGCTGGTTTGCTGAGCTTCATCTTTCTTCCCAAATGTTATACAATTGTTTTAAGGCCTGACTTGAACAGCAGGGAAAATTTAATGAAGACAAAACAATCCTGATTTTGATTCATAATTTCCTTTACTGTGGTTTATAATTATGAAAACAATAGCATCTTTCTCCAGAGTCATAAGGCTGCT